AAAGAGAGAGAGAAAGAGAAAGAGAGAGAGAGAGAGAAAGAGAGAGAGAAAGAGAAAGAGAGAGAGAAAGAGAGAGATAGAGAAATAGAAAGAGAGAGAGAAAGAGAAAGAGAGAGAGAAAGAGAAAGAGAGATAGAGAAAGAGAAAGAGAGAGAGAAAGAGAGAGAGATAGAGAGAGAGAAAGAGAAAGAGAGAGAAAGAGAAAGAGAGAGATAGAGAAAGAGAAAGAGAAAGCGACCTTCAGGGTGAGAATCTCACATCAACAACAAATATCCCAAAGCATAACGTAACATCAAAATCATGACAACAGATACATGCACAACAGAAGAGAGCCGTGGAGCAACATTCAGTGTGTTTTTAAATCATTTTTGACATGATTTGTTGGACAGATTAAAATGACTGTCATCAGACAATTAGAGCCAATTATAAATGCTTTTTTGAAGAACAGCTGTGATAGTAAGTTAATGGCCGACGGTATGATTGCACTTCCTGTTCCCATCTGAGGGGCAGCTGAAGTGACGCCTCGGCTCAAAGACTTAATGGACATGATGGGATTTAAGTGTAATTTAAAGCTGGACGAGTGTTTATTCTAACGAGTGTCTGAACACATCACGAGTTCTGTCCATTAATGATGCTGCTGATGCTGTTTAATCCCTGCTGGGTCCAACATTCAATCAGCTTGTTGACCAACACACGACTTAAGAAAGTAACCGTGGCAGTTTGTTTACAGTCATTTCAAAGTTGTAGAAATGTTGCATGAAACTGACTCCACTCATCACATTCTCTCTGTACTTACAGTTGATAAATGTTCATGAGCAAGTGATTGTTGTAATACTCATTCCGGCCACAAGAGGCACCACTACGACATGTTGTAAATCGGACTAAAAGCATTCGTGTTTCTTCCAGGTGAGTTTTCACGTCTTTCTTTTGGCTAGAAATGTGTTTTAATCGGTGCCAACTTGCCTCTTTTAGTCCCATTCGGGACATTAATTATCTTTTCTGTTTGGATAGTTTTGGTTGACTTCCTGTAACTGGGTCAGATTATTTTGTCAATGAGATCAAAACGGCACGAGGTTTGCTCGGAAACGGTCCGAGACCACCGAGACCATACAACGGGCTGAATGTTGGTTCATCAAAGCTCTCTCGCTCTCTAGAAGAACCTCCTTATGACGCTCTAAAGTAAAACTGTGAATTAAAACAGCAAAATGAACCAGTCACTGATGAGAATACATTTCCTCTCACACGTCTTGAATACCAGTGAAGCTGCTGTTGAACCACACCGACCCTCTCATGACTGACAGTCTGCTCTCATCAGCCGGGTCACAAACATTCTAACACCGAGCTGAAATGAACTGAGGTGAATCTAATGAGCCGAGACAGGAGACTGGCTTTGGTCCAAACGTTATCTGGTAACTGTGACGAGTACGGAGGACCAGAATAACCAGAGGGAGGCTTTGGTGGGGGAGGGGTTTGGGGGTACCTGTCAGCGTGTTTCCTCCTTTATACGGCAGGTTCTTCACAGCCTCGATCACGGCCTCTTTGGTGGTGTGAGCGTTGAGGTGCCACTCGATCCGGGGGTCTCCGCTGTACTGAGCCAGACCTGCACATGGTCATGTGGAGGAAACGTTATACCGCAGACAAATAGTCTTGTGGTTCCGTTTATGTTCTTGCAAACTTTGGTCTCTCAAGTACAGTTTAAAACAAAATATTCTGTGGACTAACAGAGTGTACGAGGTGCTTTAAAGAATCAAAGCATAGTTGTTCTTTTGAGCCGGAAATCTAAACCTCCTCACCGATCCTGGTCTTGTCAAACTCCACCGAGAAGGCCCTGACCAGGTTCTCCAGGAAGGTCCTGACCAGCCTGAAGTTGATGCGTCCGATGCTCCAGGAGCCGTCCACCAGGATGACGATGTCCGATATGGCCGGAGTCTTGCACATGAACTCGTCTTCAGCTAAAGAAGAAGAGACACAAACACAGACAATTTAACATCGTAGTTTTCCTTTCACTGGTGGTGAGTTTAAAGTCTGAACCAGATTATAAAAAAAGGATGTAAGAGGTTCACAGCCGCCTACAGCGCTCACATTACACGTCTGCAGTTGTAAAAGTAGAACACTTTGACGTGCAGCTCCGGTCCCAGAGAGTTACAAAGTGTTCCATTAATTCTAATTCAGTTCAACGCGGTTTAATTAAACCCTGGAGGAGCTAGGTGCTTCGCTTTAGCAGATGAATAATAACAGCCTCCCTGTGTTGTTTGTCCCGACAGTTTACCGGGTGATAAAACAGACCGGACTCTAATGAGGCAACGGCGGCTCATTTACTAAAGTCAGTCCGGCGAGCCAGAGCCCGGCCCAGATTAGAAAAAAAACTAAAATGTAAAATATATTCCTATCAGCCAATTATCTCTCTCACAGAGCTGCGGGATCCTCTGGGAGTTGTTTCTTTACACCCTATAATCAGAAGGAATAAAATACTGCCGACATGCAGTTGAGCAAGGCACTTAAACAGTGGAGGAGCAGCAAGCAGGAAACAATAAGATAACTGAAGGTGCAGGCTGATCCGTCACATTTTAATCCACTTTCAGGCGGTTTATTGAAGCGTAATTGTGCTTATTAATCACTTAAATGCTCGTCTTAAATTCTCTGTGATCCACAGTTCAGTCAAAGGACGAGTGAGTCTCTATGTGACGCCCCCTGGTCTCTCATTAGAAGGCATTATTCTTTCTTTTATATAAATGTTTTTATATAAACATAGATTAGTCCCAAGTGGTGAACTTTACATCAGCATTTATCATTTAAAACAGTAGATGACCCCAAAACATGGTGAGAAATGTCAACATTAACACCAACAGTGATGTTTTTCAGAGTAAAGTGACTTTATTTAGCTTAAAGCTCAGAAAACAAGTTTAATTCTGCAGTAGAAGTTTCAGTGTTGGAGATATCGGCCTTCTCTCCAGTATATTGGGACTATACGACACCCAGCTTGTGGTGCTCAAAGCGTTGAAACCCTCAACAGTAATGCCTCTTACCATGAATCATGACCCGGTTACTCCAGGTAACACACAGACCGTGGTGTGAGCAGCTTTTATGTAGGAACTATTTTCTTTCTACCGAATTACGCCCACCAACCGCATCACACGGCCTCGATATCTTCACTACATGGCAACTCCCACCAAAACAGTCTCGGTTGATAAGTAGCACTACAGGGAAGAGGAAAAATATGTTTTTGTGATTTAGGGTGAACTGTCCCTTTAAGTAGAGGTCATATTTTGCGTTTTCAGTGGAGCCTTTACAGCTGCATTTAAAAATGATGCTCAAAACCTTTGTGGAAGTGAAGTTAATGAGTCTTCTTTCAGAGACTTTGTCTTTCTCTGTTTAATTCAAGCAACTCAGTCACATGACTGCAGAACATCTCGTTTCATCTTCTCTCGTCCTGTCCTCGGACATAAACTGTCTCTCTGTACAGAGAGAAGTAAGACGGAAGGTTTCTGGTCACAAGGTCTGGAAGAACACGGACATATTTCCATTGCAGTCTTAAATATATATTATTTCAATTCAGACTCAAAGTCTCCTCATGTGTCCAATTAAGGTCGTGCTGCAAGGGACTTCCTGTCCTATGTCCTACAGACACATGTCGCTCTGAGGGAATGTGTTTCTGTGAATATTCTCGACTATAAAGCGCATGTTGTCAAATGTAACTGTGTGTGTGTGTCTGTCTCCTGTTATTATTGATCAATAACCACAATAATATTCAAACCCATCAGCTTATATTTCATGTTTAATGACACAACTTCCACGACACCATAACCACGTTCCTAAATGTAAGATTAGCGATTATTATCATTGTGTTGTATGTTATATTTGTGGCATAGTTTCCTGTGATCGGTCACACGCTTGATGTTCTAGAGACAGAAGTAAAGAGGGAGCAGAGCTGACAGAGAGAGGATTCTGAACGAGCCAGAAGCCGACAGCAGATCCTCACGTGTGAAGACTTCTTTATTCTCTTCTTCTTCTAAATGAAGGGAGGCGGTGTCGTGTGAGAGCCCGACACGCCCAACAACCCTTCTTGAATATATAAAGCTCAAGAAAACACACACAAACACTTTAGCCATGAAGCCTCGGTGATTATAAAAACTAAAAGGTTTCACTTTGGGTTAAGAGGGAACAGTGAGCCGCTGGTTTTGGGCTTCGGTGTAAACTCGACGCCCACTCTGCTCGGTGCTGCCGACACGTGAGACCGACACCGTTCATCTGAGCCCCGCCGGGCTCACGACTCCTTAATCCTCCAGATGTATCAGAGAATGTTTCATTCAGGTAGCAGCACGTTCACCGTCTCGTGAGGAGGCGAGGGTTTGTGGTGTGTGTGTGTGTGTGTGTGTGTCAGCGGCGAGCGAGGAATTCATCAGCCGTCATTTCATTCATCGTTGACAGGAAGTGAGAAGTGTATCGCTGCATACAAGTCTCTACAGTGTCGGAATTTACACCTCCTCCCTCGGTCTACCGGAGGAGGCTCCGTGCTGCTATCCAACACTCACCATTACTCCACCGCTCGGGAGGAATGAGCCCGGAGCACGCTGTTGATTTTATCTATATATACATATTATTATATTTCACTTCATTTATTGTTTGTGTCTTTAGCCGTTATGTTATGCAACATGCTTTTTGAAGGTAACAGTGTGTAAACTATATAAACTGAAAATAAAATGACTAAAATAAAGAAATATTGAAGCTAATTCTTGAGTTGTTGCTGCAAGTCGCCGTCAGCCAAACAAACAAAAACTCTGCTAGAAGCTACATTCTGCTCGCCACTTCCTCATTTTGAAATTTGAGCGGCTGTAGAAATTCAACGTGAACTCTCAGAAACACATGAAATGACAGCGACCTCTTAAGAGAGCGTTACACTATAATGTTCAGACAATAAAACCACGTAGTGAGGGCGAGAGAAACATCATGGTGGGGCTTAAGATAGGTGTTAACGAAGTAAAATAAGTAAACACATCACAAACGTAACTTCACAAAAACTAAACAACCCTTTGAGACACGAACTCCGGTCTCCAGGGTGAAGGTCCTGATGTTTGTTTGACTACTGCATCAGTAGCTCTGAGCATTGCACACTCACATGGAGATATGATTCAACAAAGGATCCTAACTGACTTTCCATTGGCACAGTCGGAACACTAACACATTACTTCCATCCGCCCATAATGTGAAAGAAGATTGTGCTCATTTTAACGAGATGGGGCTGCTCATATTTCAAAACCACCTCTCGATGTGGATTCCAGTTATTGTGTTTTCTTGCTGTTCATAGACACAGTACCGGGACGATCTCCTCCACCTGATTTGGTGCACTGTTACATGTTAAGTGTGCACTAATTAAATGTCTGCAGGTTGTCAATTAATCTGTATTCACGTCATTATTTAAAAAATGCTGTGAGTGAACCGGGAGATGCAGAAGAGGAACCCTGAGGAGGAATAGTTTAAACGGGTTTAAGGGTATAAAGGAGGGATATTCCTCAGTCAATACAAGAAGTGATGCTGAAGGGCAAAACATCGGTTTAGAGAATGAAGTGAAAGAGGACCAGCCTCTCTTTAATAGCACGTCTGGGACAATACTCGCACCTGGACAGATGGCCAAAACGGGAAAAAGGACAGAGAAGAAGAAGTGATGGAAAAAAAGAATCTGTGACGGATGCATAACAAAGAGTGCAACGACACAAGAGAGTCTGCTGTGAACATAAACGTTGAGTTTCTTTCTGCTCCACTTCCTAATCTTCCTCCTGGCATTTGATTTCTTATTGTCCCGTTTCCATTGTTTTTATACCATCACCGCTCTCTTTTAGTACGCATTCATGCCGTAGTTGCAAAGTGTCTCTATTTTCACTTAACAGCTACATAGTAATTAAACAAGAGCGAAGAAAAGAATACGAGATAAATGTGAACGGGATGATGAGAAAGTAACAGAAATGCTGAAAAGGAATGATAAAAAAAATATATAAAAGAGAGAGATGAGTGCTCAGTACAGGGGCGAGGAAGAGCAACGGGTGAGGAAGATTCTTCTTAAAAAGAAGTGATGCATCTGATATCTGGTTGATGTGTAATAAACAGAAGAAGAAGAAGAAGAGAGTGACCTACAAAAGGGACCAGCAGACAATCTAAAGACAAAGTCATTTATAATACGTGTAGTGCTGAAATTCAACGGCGATAAGCATCAGCAATTTAAAGAGAAAAAGAGGGAACATCTGGGGCAGCGGGCGGAGATTAAAGTAAAGAGGAAACGGACAAATCCACTTTGTTAAAGCGACTCAAACAAACAGAAGAGGTCTAAATAAATCCCCTCATGAGAATCAAGAATTCATTTTCTACGTGTATCATCGGGCAGTTTACAGTTTTTCCAAGAATTCCTGTTGATCTTCTGTGTTTGGAACGGAGCTTTTACAATCACATGGGGAATGTGTGCAGACTACAGACTCATTCATATACAATGCAACAAGAATACTTGTGAGGCATACAAGTTAGGGCTTAAGCGACGTGTTTGAAATGTCGTATGTAACGTCGTATGAAAATAAATCTTTCATAACAGCAAAGGCTAAACAGCTCGGATGCCCTCGTGTTGAAAGCAGCCGTGTCGTGTTTCTGTGATCTGAAACGTCCCGACGTGGATCGATGTTCAAAGCTGTGACGAACTACGACAAGAGGAGTGAAGACTCTCAGCCGTGACCGACCAACAGCACCACAACACTTCACCCGTCTACCTCGGCCTTTACTAAATTGGTCCAAATTGGTCCAAATTGCTGGCTGGAGGGGACGGCCTCTTGAACAGGAGGTTTGAGATGTGGAGGGAGGACGACCGGGGAAGGAAGAGAAAGAGAGAGAGAACGGGGGGGAGGCAACAGAAACAGGTCTGTTGACAGATCGGTCAGCTATTAGCAGAGAGGGTCCCTCTGGCACAGTGCTTCTCCAGGGGTCGAAAAGTCACCATGGAGCAGGTCTGAGGCGGATCCCCCGGACAGCGAGGGGTCAAGACCATCAAACAGAACGTGACCCAAGTGGGTCGAGTGTAAACAATATTATAATGAGTCCTTTCTGCGGAGTGACATTCTCATACATATTCACGGCCTCAAGCGGGGCCCACAGGTTGATACCGGCTGTGCAAGGCACTACCTCTCTCAGGGTTATGGGTTCAACTGCCTCCTTTGGTCAACAGATGAAGGAAAGTTCTGAGACTTAAAGTAACTACAAAGAACTTTCATGTTGTGCTGATTCTGTCGCCCCCTGTGGACTAAAGTGGTAGTGTCTCTGAGCACCAGACTCCCTTTAGAAAACCTCTCATGTTACTGCAGCAGGGTCTGACAGTCTGCTCCTCTCAGTCCTGGTTCTGGTTCTCCCGTTGCCGTCACCGATGACGAGCGTTAACAATAACTCTATAGAAATAGACCATCTTCTCTCTGATGGTCTCGTTTACTGATGGAGGTCTGATGGAGGATCAGGACTAAACGGAGACTGGTTCAGAAGCAGTTAAAGGTCCACAGGAAATCCTCCATCGTGTTTGCTTGCAATTAACTTTCTCATCGTCAGAGTTTCACTTATTTACCTGAACAAAATCTAAAGTTCTGTATTGTTTATAAGCTCTTAATTGCTGAAGTGTGTGTTCACATGATAATCTACATACAGCTGTGAACCAGTCTATTGATGTAAACTGGCCAGTTGATGGTTATCTACTTCTCTGTTTCTGTCTTTTTGTTCTAAGCTCCACTTTTTAAATTTGCAAACAGCTGAAGTTGGGATGAACACAACCAAACAATTTACTTTCCAATCAATTGAAGGTTTCAAAGACAGATCGTCTCGTTCTAAAGGGAGGGCGGGGCTACGCTGACAGAACAATACCTTTGGTGTTAAAGGTGAGCTCTGCCACCTCAGGGCTCCGAGTGTGACGGATTTATCTAACTTATACACGGCAGGAG